TATGTTTTGTAGTGGAGGGGAGCATGATAAAAATTATAATATAACTCAATTATTCAAAAGTCGGGACGAGGGTGCCACTTAATTCTCAGATTACATATGCTCTTACACCACAACATCTAATTAATAGCAAGAAAATATATATTTTTAAATTATTATGAGAAGAAAATTACATTTCAAATTCGTTAATTATTTGAAGAAACTTGAAATTTTTGAAATGCAAATTTCCACAATAAGACTTTCAGCTTTAAATTTGCAGGCGTGGCTCGAACTCGCAATCAAAGCATCACAAGGGTGCCTTCATGCCAATTGAACCAAAGGTTCTTGACAGAAATGAAATAAAATGGGCTTTAAATAAATTAAATTAATCTTCTTTATTTATGTATTTACAGGCACGTAGGGTTGCACAAAAGATTGGAAGGCACTAGATTTTATCCTAACTCGAAGTCTGATCTCTTTCACGAAAAAAATTGGGTTAGATAACCTATAGTCTGGTCCTATCTAGTGATAACCCTAAAATTAATAGGACCAAATTTGGTCCATATAAGATTGAAAGACTGATCTTGTTAGTCTAGTACTCACTTAATTTTTTTTTTTACCTTTTTCTCTATGAGAAGCAATAGTCCATTTCAACATAATAAACTCAATTAAGATAATAAGATCACTTATAATCATAATAAATCCAAAATAATTTTTAACAAGAAAAAAATATTTCAATTACATTCTAAATAATTTAAATTTATAACTTCAACAAAAACAACACTCAACAAACTTCAACAACACTACATTACAACAACAATTTAGAAACAAACTTAATCAATTTTTATGCAATTATCTCCTTAGCATAAATTACACTTGAAACATTTATCAAAAATAAATTAATTATAATTATATTAAATAAATTAATAAGACTGGACTAGAATAAGTAGTCTAGATGTCTAGTCTCCTGTCCAGTCCAATCTGAAGAAATAGCTTGGTCTAGTCTCTTTTTAATTTTTTTTTTGGTCTTGAAAGACCAATGTTTACAAGGGTCGAATAGGATAAGACCATCTCATGTTGAACTAGGTCAGACAGGATTAGAGGACTTTTGCACAGCCCTAGGCACACGCATGCACGCAGAGAGAGAGAGAGAGAGAGAGAGAGAGAGTACAACACAATAGGAAAAAAAAGTTATACATAACATAAAGCCTGTATCTCATATTTCTTCTTTAATATTCTCCAAACATATCTTCTATATTTATTTTTATAAATATTGAGGATGATGATTGAGATTCTAAATGAACATCCTCATGTTCTGTAACTTCTGGAGACTTAACTCATCCAAACTTTTAATTTACAAAAAAAAAAAAATAGATGTCTCACACTCATTGTAGTCTGCAGGGATAATGGTAGTTTAGTATCCAAGTAGATAGTATTTAGTATTAAATAAAGTCCTGATTATTACTTTTTTTTTGAATGGTTATATTGCTCACGTTTTTAATTTTAATTTTACCACAGAAAGAATTATTATTTTACAATAGTTTCGTAACAAGGTCCTCAATATATTTTGATTATTCTTTCCTAAGACTAAGTCAAAACTCAAAAGTATTGCGACTGCGTACGTGAGTTGCAGAGGAGACTAGACTTCGAAAATTTTAGCAAAGTCTGATTCTTCGTTCTTGAACTTGAAATGAAGTGACGTTCATGGCTTGACAATGCGCACGGTTTGACTGGCTTCCATTTTCTTTTGAAGCCTTTGCCCATTGCTAGTTGCCCAGTCGTACTTTGTCTAATTAAATCTCATGTATAAGTCAGTTTCTGAGTTACCTCTCGTTATATTTATAAGGTAGTAAGAGATTATTTATTTTAATTATATTTATGAGGTAGTTCAATAATTATTCTATTTATTTTTATTCTTTTATTTCTATTAAATATTGAGAAAGTTATTAAATTGTGGAGTAATTTATTTTTAATCGTATATATGTATATTTAATATGAATAAAATTATAAACTTATTAAATTAATTTTTTAAACATAGTTAATGAGATTTCATGTTTTCCTTGGTTCTAGTGAATATAAAACATATTAAAAGTGATTTATAAATAAAATCAAAAAATGATTTATAAGTAAGACTAGATGAAGTGAGTTATAATAAGCATTTTGGTGATCTAATTCAACTCTGAGGTTCCATTTTTGGTGACTAAAAAGGAATAAAATAAAATGAATTAAAAAAATAAAGATAAAAATAAGATAATGAAAAGAGATGGTGAACCACATTCATAAGGAAGAGGAATAATTTAATTCATGGAGTTAAGAATTATGATTCATGAAATTTTTAAAAAATATAATAACTTTCACATTTAGTATATATTAATAAAATTTATCATGTTTATCATGAAAGAAAAGCGTGATTTAATTCATTTTTATATTAATTTTTTCAATTCATTTTATTGCATTCATTTCTAATAGCCAAATAGGGCCTTAATAATTTTTGTGTCTCTTATAAGTGTTGCATTAAATGCATATTTCTTTGATCCACCTATTTATAAATTACTTCCACTATATTTTATTAGAATAAAAAATTCTAATTAAAATTTATTAACCCTACTTGAAAATTCAATCGTTACTATTAAATACATATATTTTAGTAAATAAGATTAAAAAGAATATATTTGATAAAACAATCGATATGAGTGTAGAGTAGGGCAACTCCTTTAAAATCTTGCAAAAATCTCTAAATCACCCTTAACATTATAGTTGATTGAAGTGCAGACAAAGCTAACAACAAGAGTTGTAAATTTTTATAAGCTATAATTAGTACCTCTAATAATATATGACTAATTAAGAGTTTATTGGTATACATGCTTAGCTTCACTAATAGTTTAGTGTTATATGTTTATTAATTAGTTTAATCTTGGTTCAAGGCCTAAAAGACATTAGATTTGCTACATACATACTTACACACACACACACACACACTCACACACAAACCAAATAATCTTTTTTGTTCTCGTTCTTCTTTCTAAAATAAACGGGTTATTGTTGTATATTTTGGATTAGTGCTTATTAAAAAATTAAGAGGGATAACCTATAAATTATGGTAATAAATTTAATTTGAAATTAATTTTAGCAACCCCCTTTCATTCCTATTCATGGTTAAGTATATATGTTCATGTTCTATATACAATGACCATGATTTTTTCTTTCCTAGAAGCAACTTTTTTTTACCAACAACGTAACTTTAATGTTAATAAACTTTGAAAATTAACTGAAAATAAAGAAAGTGATTATAATTACTCTTTCGTTTTTAAATTAATACTGCAACTCTCGCCAGACTAAAAAAAATCAACTTAAATCTTTCATTATTTTTCTTGTCTTTCTTTTTCTGATAAAAAAAATCAACTTAAATTTTTCTTGTCTTTCTTCCACCTTATCTTCTCCGTCAAAACAAACCCTCAAAAATTATATTCATATCTGCGATGATGACCGTCACTTTCAACTTTCAACTAATTAATTCAGCTAAGAAAATTAGAACAGTGTACTCAAAAACAAACAGATTCCAAAGACTTTCGAATTCTGCTTACTTTGTTGACCATTCATCGGATTTTTCCTTCAACATTTTCTTCTTTCTTACGTTAGCTTCTGTTTACAAGGAAAAAAGAATATATTAATTTTTAATCTTATTTATCGAACACATCACATTTTTCTATATTTATCTTTACTTTTTTTATTTTTATTAAATGCTAAAAAATTATTAAAAATAATTATTTTTGTTCTTATTAGGGATAGAGATCAAAACTTATTAAATTCTAGCATAGAATTAATATGGTTTAAGTTATCAATTAATAAAGTTTAAGGTTTTTCAATTAATTTTGGTGAATATTAAAAATAATTTATAAATAAAACTAAATGGAGTAAAGTTTAGTATTTCCTCTAACCCTGTTATAAGACATATGTAGGAAAAATGTTTTTGGTCCTAATATAATCTATAATATTAAATTTTTATTCTATCACAAGTTTTTTCTTTTACTGTTTGTTAGATGCACGTGGGTGATAGAAACACATTATTAAAAGATAAAAGCGTATAAATTTAGCTTTATATATTTAAAGTATTTGTTTTTAATTAAATCAAAACATATGAATTTTTTTATAAATTATTCATTCCATAACAAACTTTTGTTATTAATATTATTAACATGTTAAAATTTACTTATCTTAATTTTATTGAATAAAAGTATATTAAATATATAAATATGCATATTTAATAGGAATAATGTTGGAAATTTATTAAATTTTTAGACATTTAATGATTTTGAACATTTTTTAATTCTAATAAAATATATTAAAAATGATTTATAAATAAGATAAAAGGAAATAACATATATACTTTCTTTCTCTAACATTCATGGTAAAAGAGAAAACTTATATAACTTGTAAATTAGATAAGAAGAAGGAACTTTTGCATATATAACCTATGTTATAAGACCAAATCAAATAAATAGCCCAATATTTATTATATTTTATGTTATAACTGATTTATTATATTTGTTAATGATATACCCTTATATATCAATGATAAATTTTTTATAAATTTTTAATTCTTTAATCAGTGATGAATACAAGGGACAAGCAAGGGTGCTAGCGCCCCATGATAAAATTTTTCTTTATAAAATGGGTTTATTTTTACTTGTAAACCATGTGAAAATTAATTTTGGCCCCCCCACTTCTTTATATTTTTATTTTTGCCCCTCATATATTGATTTCTAAATCTGTCCTTATTTTTAATAATAAGTTCTCTGTATATCAATGTGAATTGGTTACACTTTTAATTTTTTAAAAATTTAATTAATATTTTTTTTGAGTACAAGATTTTTTCAGCCAACAGGTCAATTTATCCTAAGAAGAATATCTTTTGCTCTCTCTTATAATATATGAATTTATAAATATCACCCCCCCTAGTGTACCGCGTCTGTGTATATTATATATAAATATGGGCACACACCCAAGGACAGATTATATGAAACAGTTCGAGAGAGAATATATTGACACGAACAAAGCAGCTGGTAAATATGAACGCTACAGAGAACAATCAGCATTATGTGATGAAATCTCTCTCTAATGGACAGGACGATCTTGAAGAGGGCGAATATGATGCTTGCCTTCGGGCCATGATTCTAAGTGCTGGTCAGGTAAACGCTGCCGTTTTGAACGCTGCACTTGAGCTAAACTTGTTTGACATCATTTCTGAATCAAAAGGATCGGAGGATGGTTTTGTTTCGCCCACTGAGATCGCTTCCAGACTCACCTCCCACAAGAGCCAGTCAGACACCGTCGCCGTCGCTGGCAGGCTCGACCGGATGCTACGCTTGCTGGTGGCTCACTCGCTTCTCACCTGTTCCGTGAGAATCACCGACGACGACGATGACACCACCCAGAAGCTCTACGGGATCTCTCCCACCGGCCAATACTTTGTCTCCAAACAAGACGGTGCTTCTTGGGCTTCCTTGATGCCCAGCATATCCTACCATCCTCACATGTCACACGTTTTGTAAGTATCATTTTTGTATTTTGGATATTATGTTGATTATATTGTTGAAGGCCACTAGATTTTGGGAGAAAATATACAGGGGGAATGATATTTAAAGTCCTCGCTAAGAACTCTATCACAATAAAAACTCATGAGTTTTGCATCAAATATATATTTATTCTCTTGTGAAAATACGTATATGTTGTTAAAAGCTGAACTTTATAACTTGTATCTTTTGTTAAAGTTTAAGGTTTAGGGTTTAACTAGTTAATTAATGGAGATAGTTAAGATTTAAAATAATGTGGAATTAAATGGGGAAAAAATAAAAAAAATATTAATTCTTACATTATACATAGATTTTACTTCCTCTTTGCTCTGTGAGTTTTTTTTTTTCCATGAGAATAAGTAAACAAAAATATTATATTTTAACTAAAAACTTAACCACATTAATTAATAGGGACAATTAATGTATAAAAATAATCGTGGTTTGGTATAAATTTAATACGTCAAACCAAGTCTAAGTAACTTTTTTTGAAAGACATGTTTTATTTAAAGGTATACATGTATGCTTGTATTCTAATCTATATGTTGATCTCTGCATGTTTGTGTTGTTGTGTAGTTTGAACTTGAAAGAAGCAGTGCTGAAGCTGAAGGAGGGGGAAGACCTGAGCAAGATAGTTCATGGCAAGAGTGTGTACGAGTACATGGAAACCGATTCTGCACTGAAGAGCAAGTTCCAGAGAACAATGGCGGATCAGTCAGCTATGCATATGGACAAGATTCTGCAGACTTACAAAGGCTTTGAGGGATTATCCACTCTCGTCGACGTGGCTGGTGGCACTGGCTACTCCCTCAATATGATCATATCCAACTATCCTTCAATTCTGGGTATCAACTTTGATTTGCCCCATGTCCTTCGAGATGCCCCTGCCTATCCAGGTACACACACACACACAATTCATCACTTATAATTAAATAGTGTCTATAATCTTGTACCAGTTCATAATTAATTACAATTATATGCTTAATTATTAGGAATAAAGCATGTTGGAGGAGACATGTTCAAGAGTGTTCCCAGAGGTGACGCTATCATGATCAAGGTACGTTCTTCTGGAAAAAGATACATCAAGTTATTAATCAATGGCATATGATTCGCAAACACCTCTCTCACTTTTTTCTCTCCCTATAGAATTCTATGTTAAGATGTGATGTTATGCTTACTTATATACACTCGTGTCTTCCTTGTGTTATGATGCAGGGCACGACTCATAACTGGTCAGATGAAAAATGCATACAGATATTTAGAAACTGCTACGAGGCCTTGAAGAAAGGAGGGAAGTTGATTGTGATAGACTTGATAATGGAGGAAGAGCCAGAGATGAGCAATGCTGCGAAGAATGTTTCCATTCTTGACTTAGTTATGTTCTCTCAAGGAGGAGGACGTGAAAGAACTGAGAAACAGTTTCAAGCTTTGTGCTTGAAATCTGGCTTTTGTCGCTTTCGACTTGCTTCTCGTGTCCTCTCCATTTTAGGCGTCATGGAATTTTACAAGGATTAGTTTTTTTCTCAAGACCCCAAGGATAAAAATTATAAGTATCAATCATTAATATTTTAAATTGTTAAAATAAAATAAAATTAAGGATAAAAAGGTAATTTTGTTTTTAAACTATAGGTTTAGGAAGTATCAAAGACCCTTAAACATTTTTCCAGCAATTTGGTCCCTTAACATTTAAAAATATCATAATGTAATTCCTCAGGTTAATTACAAGATATAATGTTTGTTACTCTCGTGTCACTTTTATGCTATGTGTCCTACATTTTCTTATATGTGACTTGATGGTGAATATTATTGCAATTAGTGTGAGGGACACGTTGCGATGTTTTTAAATATTAAAAAGAGACATGTTGCGATGTTTTTAAATATTAAAAAGAGAAAAATTACAGTTAAAAAATTAAAATCTCTTATACTCCTAATCCTATAATTTAAAGATAAAATTACCTTTTTACCCTATAATGAATAAAGTTATAGCTTATAGGCTATGAAGGAGTTGGTCGCGTGTGTTACATATCCAGCACATAACTTCAGTTTCTGATTGCAGCACTTGTACTGATGTTGGAATTGTAGTAAATAGTTATGCACGACCCATGTCATACTGTAATAAATTCAAGTTATATATGCAGCTTACTCCATATATATATAGGAACTCTGACTTCATAAATATTTGATACATTTATCTCTTTCTTGTTTTTCTTTTTCTTTTTATTTTATCATGATCATGAGGGCTCAAATAAAGCCCGATTTTTTTGTTAAACTATATGTCTCTTAATGTATTATAAAAAATTATAAATAAATTAAATTATTCATGGCTTGTAAATAGTATTTTTTATATATAATGAGATTTATTGGTAATAAATGGTCTTTTGTACTTTTATTATTTACACAATCTCGTATTATTCCTCATGTGCTCTCCCTTTTCGTTTCCTATATTCCCCATTTTCTGTTGGGTTTTTTTTTTTAATTCTTTTCTTTGCATCGATTAGATAAGTTTTTTCAAGGTACGTAAAACCGGAGCGGTCATTGAACCGGTTATGGCACTGGGTCACGGGTTAGTGGTTCAATTAGGGTTGAACCGGGGGTTGAACCGGTGGCAAACCGGTCATGATTAAAATAATACAATTTAAATAAAAAGACATTAATTATAAAAATATTCAACTAAATTCAACCACTCAAAAGTCTAACAGTAATAAAATACAATATTTTAAATATCTATCATGATTCATTACACTTACAACTCTTCAATCTAAAAAGTCTAGAGAAGAGATGGAAATAGAGTTGGAGAAGAGACGGAGATTGAGCTAGAAAAAAGACGAAGAGTCAGAGACTAAGTTGGAGAAGAGATGAAGATAGCAAAGACAGAGATAGAGTTGGAGAAAAGATGGAGATAGAGCTGGAGCCTGAAGAAGAGACGGAGACTAAGCTAGAGAAGAGACACTGATTAGATTAGGGTGAGAGAGGAGAGACACAGATGAAAGGCCGAAATAAATGCTGTCTGAAAATCTGAATTGGACTTAGCGTGCTCTATCTCTAATTTTTTATTTTTTGACTTTAGTTGTACTTTTTTTTGTTATCTTATTTCTAAATTCAGTACTCTGAAAAATAAAAAATGAAAAAAAAATTCAAAAAAAAATAACCCGGTTAACCCAGTCAACCCACCGGGTTAACCGGGTTATACCGGGTTGAACCCGAGTTGACCGGGTTACACCGGTTTATTTCGTTACCGGTTTAGGAGTAAACCCAGACCGGACAAGGGACCGGATCACCGGTTTCCGGGTTGACCCGGCCGGTCCGGTCCGGATTTCAATACCATGAGTTTTTTACAACATACATATCATGATTTAAAAAAAAAAAAAAAAACTACAATGATCTATCAGCACATAAATGGATTGGGCCCAAAGAAAATGTAGCCCACTTTCTGTCGCATTTTATTGCACATTCGCACTGTCCCCAAAAACAACTCATAATTTAAACAATTTAATTTTATTTATTTATTTATTTCCATTTTGACATCTCACTTGAAGTGAAGAATATTGAAAAAATTAATTCAAATAATTTAAAGAAAAAAATTATATACTTAAAGTACTTTTTTTTAATTAAATCAAGAGATATGAATCATTTATATATTATTTGTCTATAACAAGCTTTTTATTATTAATACATTAAAATTCACTTATTTTAATTTAATTGAATAAAAATGTATTAAATATATAAGACTGAATATCAAAGTCTTACCCAAAAAAAGAGATCAGTTTAGTGAAACTGAAATGACAAAAATATCAAAAGAGTGAATATCATTATTAAGGGGCAAGGATCTAATCAGGATATTTGTTAGACAAAATTATAAATTTATCTTATCACTAGCATCCCACTAATTGGGGAAAAAAAACTCTAAAAGATTTAGATGATGATAAATTGAAGAAAAATTATTTCAATATTAAGACAGTTTTGAGTTTCAATGAATATTAATGATCTTGATTTATTTTAAGAAGTGAACATCATTAGAGAGAGTGTTATCAAAAGAATTCAATAATCTACTAGAAGTATTGAAATATATATATATATATATATATCAGAGTATTATAGTCATTTCCAACCACAGCAGTACTTCCAAAATATTCCAGGCGCACATATGCTGCAAATAAAACTCCAAATGTTGAAATTCCTTTATTATATTGAAACTCTATTCATTCTATTACAATAAAATTTTAATTCAATTATATTTTTAATAAATTATTTAATTATCTTTAAAATTATAAATCTTTTTTATGTTTACTCTTATTTAATAGAGTGCCCAAATTAAAAACTTTATTGATTACACCCCTAATTAAAAATTTTTGGAGAAAAGCTTATTAATTGCATTTTGAAATGCTCAAAATGACTTATATTTTTTTTTTAAGAATATCAATAAAGAATCTCTAGAACAATTTAATATCTAACAATAATCCTAGACTAATTAGATACTCCTTAAAACAATAGTTTTACTTGTTAATATTTATGTGTCAATGAGAAATCATTGTCAGATATTAAATTCTTTCAAGAGTTCCTTTATTGATATTCTGCCCATGATACATCAAGAAAATTGAGATTTTAAAAATTAGACTGGTCATTGAACCGGATGAGGTGCTAGTTTAAGAGTTAATGGTCTGACCGTGATCGAACCGTGGTCGAACTGGATATAATTAATTTAATATTTATAGATAATATATATACATATATATATATATATATCACAAAATAAATTCATCCAAAATTATAAAAACTAATATTTAAATTAAAGAAAATTTCTAAGTTATCTATAAATTTATATTCTAATATTTTATAAGAATAATATTGTAATGTAATCTATTTCATTCACTTCATTTTAAAAAAAGCCAATAACATTTAATATGATTTTTTTACTACCCAGAAGACAATATTTAATCATATTAATGTGAATTTTTTATCAAAATTTTTGCATTAACAAAAAAATAAATAAATATTTATACTCCCCCTCTCGTTTCAAATTATTTCGCCGCTCCTCTGTGCACCTTTTACTGCTTTTTAATATAAATAATAATAATATTATTAAAAATTATTAATATAATCTTATAATATAATAATGGATGGTTCAGGTGGAAAGAGAATTTTTTGTCACAGGCCTAATATCCTAAGGCCTTGTTTGCTATAAAGATATGGATTTTGAGGAATTGGGATTAGAATTGAAATTGGGATTGGAGTTGAAATTAAGTTTTTAAAAATATGTTTAGTATGAAGTAATATTTGGAGGAAATACTTACATTAATTTTTTTAATTCATCAAAAATAAACAAAATATCATAATGCCCCTTATTATTAAGAAAAAAATATAGTCATCAAGATGAACAACGCACAACTCAGGGGAGGATACGATGGATCTAGAGCTCTGCACTTCAAATCTGGAGCTTCCTGGCGGTAGATGTGGGGGAGCTGAAGGAGAGGGCGACGAGTGAGAAGAGAGTAAGAAGACAATCTCGAATGCAAGTCTAACACTAAATTAGATCTGAAAACGTATACATCTGCATAGTTAAGGGAGGAAGAAGACGATCCCGTCGCAAACTTTCATCATCATTGCTTTTGTTCTTGCTCGCCCATCATCAGATCTAAAAATGTATTGATCTCATACATCACCCAATCTGAAGCAAGAAAATGAATCTTGCTCGCCCATCATCATTGCTTTTGTTCGTGCTTCTATTCTTTGCTTTGCAATGCTGGCAAAGGAGGAAGTCGTCTATAGCAAGAGGAAGTTTTCGACGGTGAGAGGAAGTTGTCGTCAGAATCATCCATGGTGAACATGTTTGAGCGAAAAATTCCATGGAGAGCCACAGGGGTCAAATCTAGGCATATTTGAGGAGGGCATATTAGTCAATGATAATTTCAATCCCAAGATTAATTTTGCAATACCAAGGGAATGGTGGGTTTGAGTATTCCCACCTAAGTGGGACTAAACAATCCAAAGGATTAATGAGTGATTCATACCAAACATATTAAATGTGAGATTACTTAAACCTAATCTCAATCCCAGCCCTTCAATGCTATATACTAAACAGGGCCTAACTTCACCTGTCAGCTTTAGTCCTCCTTTTCTCCATTTTCCTCTGCCACCGTGACTATTTCTGAAGTGCAGTATATCATCTTCATAGCAACAGATGATTTTATGGCCGATCAGATAGTTTTTTTGCTGGAAAAATGTACTTAAGGTGGTGGTTTATTGTAAAATACATTATTTTCTTGGATTTTAATGAATATCTTTCATTTCTTTCCATCTTCGCCTTTTCTATAGCCTCTCTCGTCAAATTTCTTTCTTTTTTCTTAGATCTAGTCACTTGAATGTTGAACCATTTGAACCAGTCAATTGCTCAATTTTTCTGGTTTTTCTAATTTGTTGACCAGTTGGCTGGTTCTTGACTGATTCGTTGATAGCAGGGTTCATCTGCATCAACCGAACCGGACTAGTGACCGGTTCACGGTTGAACCGGCCAAATCGGCCGGTCTGGCTCGGTTTTTAAAATTTTGAAAAAAAAAATCTTATAATACTAAATGTAGAGAATATAATCATAAGATTCAATGCTAATTCTAGATGAATAGGGAGGTTTCTTTTAGACTAAGTGAGAGCTACCAAAATGATAATCCTTCTGATAAGATCAAATTGACCATCTTTTAACTGGTGAAGCAATAAAAACTCATAAATTCTGTGAAATCAGTTCCTCTCACAAAGTAATTAATCGATCCTAATGGATACAGCATCAAATCAAATGGCTCTAACAAAAGGACATGAAGCAAAAAAGTGAAGGAGAGATTCCTCGTTTTGACAGCCAAAAGCAAAATATGCTTATATGGAATATTATAGTATTAAGGGCTTGTTTGATTTTGTTCATATTTTTTGTTTTTAAAAACTAGTTTGTAAATCAATTTTTAATGTTTTTCAAAACGAAATAGAAAATCTCTTTGACTATATTAATTTAAAAATAAATTTAGATTAAAAAATTGATTGAGAATTATGGTTGCCAATAGTTAATAGTAGTAACCTATGATAATAATTGAAGGTAATTTAAAATAGTCTAATGTAATGTGTTTTAAAAATAAAAAAAGAAAATGAAAACAACTCTAAGATATTTTCATTTTTT